AATGAAACAGGAAATAATAGAGGACATAAGAGTAAAGAGAGTTTCATGAAACATTCCCCCCCACCCCTTCGCTGTAGTCAAAAGGCCAGGACGCCAGGAGCCTGGTCTAGGCACTGCTGTGCAGACGGGGAAAACAGGGCCCTGGGAGGGTGGGCGACTTGTCTGGGGATCTGGGACCCAAGTCCAGTTTGTTGTGAAGTCAATGCCTGGGCCAATACCAGGTGCTCAGCCTGGGCGTTGCATGAGATCAAAACGTGGGAGAGTTGCTCACATGCACACGAGCAGGTACTCTCCTCTTCACGTGGGGCTGGCCACGGGGTGGGGGAGGGCGTGCTCCTGAAGGAAGACTGGTGGGAAGTCGGAGACCCGATGCCCACACTTCCCACTCCAACCGAAACAAGGAGGCTTCTTTCTTTCAACCAACAGTGTTTCCCCGAATGCAGTGAGAGGATGAATTGGTACTGGCCTCGCCCAGAAGATTACTTTTCTTGCTCGACCTACCAGTTGCAACATCAGAGCAGGGCATGCTACCCTGAGGAACTTTCTGACTAATGTCCTCCACTCCCATCTAAGAGTTAAGACAGTGAGTTGCTGTTTCTGAATTTTCCAAAAGTTTACTTGAGGTGTGTCCCCAACTTTGAAGTGCTCGACTGCTGTCTGTAGAAATAAAGTTGGTTTAAGGTTAACCAAGGGCTCTTGGGAAAAAGGTCACAGAGCCACGTTCCATGGGTCTTCATCTCACCACCACGGGGCAGCTATTTTTACAGCTTAAGAGACCTGCTACAGAGGGCAGAAAATTCATTACTTAAAATGGGATCTTAGAAAGTATCTTTTGTTCCAAGAATCAGTTGTCCAAAGTATTTTTAAACTTTCATGGCTCTATTTGAGCCAAGATGCTCAAAAACTGAAGACAAATATTTCTATGAACTATTTCCCTTCAGCTCATTTTCTGTCCTGGTTAGCAGTGCCTGACCCAGGGTGTGAGAGCTGGTTGACGCCCACACTTCGCGCTCCTCTCCAGGCCCAGGGACACGCGCGTTCCCACCAGGGCCCCAGTTTTCAGAGGCTGGAGACGGCACAGGACAGTGTGCTCTCTCCTGCCCAGCTTTACTCTGTTAGTCCTTGTGCACTTTTCCATTAAGGTTCCGGACACATGGTAACCCTTCTCCCAGGGCAGACCTCGGGCTTCACAGCACGCATGAGGCTGGCACAGGGGGGACGGCGGGTAACCTACCACCTCAGACGTGAAAAAAGTTGGCAGGCAACACAGACCAGGCGCCATGCTCACAAACCCTGACAGCAGACCAGACGTTCTGTGAACACAGCCAGACACAGAGCAACACAAGTACTGATCTACATAAAGAGAATTATTAAAAATAAACTTCCCGCCCGGCTGGGCGTGGCTCAGCGGTTGAGCGTCAACCTAGGATCCAGGCGATCGAGGTTCGATTCTCAGTCAGGGCACATGCCCGGGTTGCAGGCTCCATCCCCAGTGGGGGACATGCAGGAGGCAGCCGATCAATGACTCTCTCATCATTGATGTTTCTCTCTCCCCCTCTTTGAAATCAATAAAGATATATTTAAAAATAAAATAAAATAAAGAATTAACTTCCCAGTGGGCCAGCACCCGTCCACTCACAGAGAGAGGAGGAGGGAAGGGACAGGGGGATGACAGAAAACAAGCTGAAGCAACCGCCACACAGAGGACCCTGGTTTGTGCTAGGACAGCTTCCTACACAGGCGAGGCTTTGGGGTGACGGAAGGAGGTCCCTCTGCCCGCAAGAGTTCTGCAGCAGAGTGGGCAATCGGGAAGGAGCCCTGAGGACTAAGCCTAACCGAGCTACGTGAAATAAGAGGCTCACCTGCTCAAAAAGTAGCTCATGTGAGTATATGCTCTCAGGAAAAATGCCAGCCCAAAGAAGAGCAAGGGGAGCCTTTCTATACCTCTGGGAAATGTGGGGAATACAGCCCCACCCCAAGTCATGAGCACCCCTGCTCTGTGCTGGCTTCTCTGGATAGACCCCTACGTCAGCACTGCAGTCCCAGGGCCTGTACATCGGAGCTGTGGCTACACCGCTCCTCGTCTGAAGATCCCGCAGAGCACTCCCCAGGGCGACCCTCCATATGCAGCTGGCCACACTCCAGGGCCTTTGGCCAGCTCTCAAATGCTCCCTATTTATTACATATTTAAAAGCCCTGATAATGATTGGAAGAGACTATCCTTATTTGTTCAGGTCAAGGAGAAGCACCGAGAATAAAGTTAAGAGTCCTAAGGACTTTTCCACCAAAAAATAATTCTTTCTTCCATGAAATGTTCTGTCACATAAAATAAAGGCAGATGGTTAATCAACTAAATTCCTGCTAATTGGTGTTACAATAAATCACATGTAACTAAAAAAATTTCTAGAAAACACCGTTTGGCCAAAGTCCTGTTGCCCTTCTGGTTCTGAGTGACATTTCAAGGAAACGTCAGTGAGATATGCTGTCTGTGTGACTAACTACGTGCCAGGATGAGAGAGCTGGGAAAGGAGGCACACTGTTAGAAAAAAATCGGGGCGCCTGGCCTCCAGGCTTTCCTGGGCTGGGCCCTGCCCACCCCAATGCAGGGGTCAACAAACACCGGATGGGGCAGAGCCAATCGGCCCTCGGCTAGGAGTGTTGTGAATGTTTAAAAATAGTTTGAAGAAGGAACGACAAAAACAATTATCTTGAGACATGGTAATTACAAAGAAATCCAAGTTTCAGGGTCCATACAGTTTCACTGACGCAGGGCACATCTGCCCGCTCACGTGCTGTCCCTCCAGGAGCTTCCATGCCGCCACAGCACAGGTAAACAGCTGGGACAGACACCATGGGGCCTGAGATATTAACTCTGTTCCTTTAGAGTCTGCTGACCCCCGTCTGTCCTGGTACATGCCGACCGAGCTCACGTGCTGGCACTTGCTGTTGCCTGTGTGTGAAAGCCACCTCTGGCCCCCTGGGTCCTAGCTCGAATGTCACTTGTCCGCATGGTCTTTCCTGAATACTCTATCTAGAGACAACTAGTCCAGTGCCACCTGAAGGTGTTTCGTTCATTTACTTACGAGCTGTCTTTCCAGAATAGAAACTTCCTCAGGGTGATCCTCGGCTACATCCCTAGTGCCTGGTAGTGTTGGTGAACCGCATGAAACCAGCCTAGTTATATAAAGCTAGCAGAGTCATCCTCAGGCCTAGTCTCCTGTCATCGAGAACCGGGCTGAGGAGAATGCCCGGGCTTTAGGCATCATGGTGTAGTTTATGAGACATAAAACAAGCAACCAAATAAAATCTGTATACTTTTCAAAGGTTTAAGAGGTTATATATAACAACTAAGCTGAGCTGTAAGTTAAGAACACGATGTTTTTATGCCAAAAGGAAGGGGAACTAACAGTGTCTGCCACCTCACGGCTGCTGGGCACAGTGCCGGGGGCCCGGGCCTGCGCCGATCCTCCCGCCTCCGTCGGCCCACTGCCTGTCATGAGGCCTGGCACTTGAGTGGCACTCAGCACCAATTTAAACTTAACCTCATGTCTATACATAGAAACATCTTTAACACTAATTAAAAATAATGGGCTGGCGTTTGGAAATACCAATAAACAAAAATATAAGCTGAAATAAACAGCATGTCTGATCTATCTCAGGTGGGTAAAAAGCTGTATGTGTCTTCTCTGAAGGTTTTCAATTAGCTCCTGAATTTATGGGGCTTTAAAATATAAAACAACGGCCCTGGCAGGCAGCTCAGCTGGCTGAAGCATTGTCCCATATACTAAAAGGTTTTGGGTTCAACTCCTGGTCAGGGCACATGCCTAGGTTTCCAGTTTGATCCCCGATTGGGGTGCAGACCAGAGGCAACACATCGATGTATCTCTCTCACATCAATGTTTCTCCTCCCTCCCTCTCTCCCTCTCCCTCCCTCCCTTTCTCTAAAAAATACACAAGAACCTGTCCTCAGGTGAGGATTAAAAAAAAAGTAAAACAATGTCCATCTTACCTTTTAATCTAATAATAAGCTGGCTTTTCTCCATTTACTCCATTTTAGTGATTGTGAAATTAATTTTAATAGCATTTTAACCCAACATATCCAAAATATCATTTCGACATTTTAATCAGTAAGGAGAAATTATCGGTAGGTTATTCTGCATTCCTTTCCACTGTATCTTCAGTATCCACTGTGCCTTTCACCCCCACAGCCATGGACCAAGAGCTCAGCAGCCTGATGGGTGACACTCAAACTGTAGTTTTTAAATGCTCAGTTATTTTCAACTGAACACAAACCAAACTTACTTGTGTTTTAGGAGTTTTATATATATAAAAGAACGTTTCTCCTTTTGACCGTGTGACTGTATTTTACTTAAAATGACTAAATACAATAAATATTATTTTATAGATATAAAACGCCCTGGCACTCACCTCAGGATTCACACTGCAGTCTTTACAATAAGCTAAAAGATATTAAGGACCACATCATACTGCTTTCCCACAAGCATCCATTTTTGCTTTCAACCCACAGCTGTTAGATTTAGTTTTCATTTCCGTTACACATGGCTCCTTTCCTGTCCTGACTGAATGCAACCGAGCAGCTCTGGCCCGTCTGAGCCAAGTTTCCCTAACGTGCAGCAGGACGGCGCCACCATCCTGCACAGGAGGACCCGCCCGTGTCTGTAATTCAGAAGCACTCCACCCTGCCTGCTCATTCCTTTAGGAGACTTATGTCCACCCATCCTTATGATTTAAAAAGAGGGAAAACCCCAGTATTAAGCAGGTTCAGGGGCCCCCTGCTGGAGGGAGCACAACCAGGGGAGCAGTTTCCACTTGGCTGGATGGGCTTGCCCTTCAATCACAGGCACACAGCATGGGGGCGGGGGACGGGGGAGCAGCAGGGCTGATGGAAATCGCAGTTCCAACAGTCTGGGAAGCTACAGGCCTACAGTGTTCACAACAGCAAGGGCCCCACTGTTTACATTGAGGACGGTCCTGGTTACCTCTGCATCCTGCTGGGGGAGGTGGTATGTCCTTTCGAGGCTTTGCAGAGTTCTAGGGTTCAGGGTCTTCTGCTCCAACAGATGCTCCAGAAGCAGGACCAGCTGGTCTGGAAGGAGCTGAGGAAAAACCAATAGCCAGTGAAAATGCTGTTCAGCTTACAAGAAATTAAACCCAAACGTTTAAAACAAAGACAGCAAGCCCAGGGCAACCTGGGCACTTCAACAGATGTGTGAAGCATGGACAGACTGAAGACTAGACTTTGGTGGAACCCCCGGGTTTGCACTATATTCTCAACAATACTGCTTCCAGGGCCTGAGCAAGCCCTGCTCTCTGAGGCCTGTTATGTCTCTATATTTAGAGCAGATCAAAACTGTGGTTATCTTTTTTCTTTTTTTTTTTAGGTTGTATGTGTTTGTTTTTAAAGGGTGTATGTACAATGTGATGATTTAATATACATACACTGTGAAATGACCAAAACTATACTTATCTTCATAAAACATTCTCATAGTTGATTAGATCCCTTTATGGCAAACATATGCCAAAAATGTCATTTAACCTAGACAAAGAGTCAAGAAACCACCTGATCTTAGGCCTGGAAGTTGAACAGAAATAAGCTGCTTTCAGATTCCCTTCCTTACCACTTGAACCTTGCAAATGTACACCAAGAAATAAAGAGCATGCAATTCAACAAGAGCCATGTCTCACAAACCCTCCCTTATAAAAACTATGTTTATTATGCCATTAAAAAATTTTAAAATGTTGTAAACATGATCACACACACACACACACACACGGTCACCATATTCCTGTTTTCACACAGGGTAGGTAAAAATTGGTGTTACATAGTTAAGGGCAAAGAGAGGAGGGTGTTTTTATATGGTACAAAAATAGTATTTTATGAACAAACATTTGTGAATCCAAGAATATAAAACTGTTGTATTCCTTATTGTGCCCCAGTGCCTAGTGTACCCCTAGAATGGACAGCACTCACCAACTGTAAGAGGAGGAAAGAATACATTTAGGATACATCTTGATGGAAATGAAACGTATTTATTCTAAAATCAAGGTTTTAAAATTTAGCTTTACTCCTTCCCTACTTATGCCCCCAAAATCCATCTGTGAAACCCAAACTTCCAAGTCTGCAAATCACTCCTAGGCCAACAGAATATTTATGACAACACCTGGATTTTAACCCCTACTTTCTGTTACTCTCAAGAAATTTTAATAGTTATTGGCTTCTCTCCCTACGTCTCTTTACCTCTCTGCCCCAAGTGTGTACTCTGCCTGCCCCCCCTTCCAGAATGCACATGGGGGAAACCGGGTGAACTGCAGGCACGACACTCACCATGTAACTCCACAAAGCAAGCATTTCTGTATGCCCACATCTCGCCCTTCTAAGTTCCAACATAACCAACCCACTTCCCTACACAGGCACAGATACACGGCCCTTGATCCTTGGGCATTTTTATTTCATAATATCCCTCCATGCACCTAAGAATCCTGGGGATCTTCTCAGGCTGACAGGAGAAACCAGGTGCCTTCGGCCAAAAGAGAGGGTTACAACCAACACTGACCTGTGTGGTTTTCTACAGGGGCTCAGAGGACTGACTACATCCTTCCGGAGAAGTCGTGCTTATAAGATGCTTTGAAGATAATTACTACATAACAGCCAGAAACAAAAATGCCAGTTTTCCATTTTCTATAGTTTTAGAATATGAGCCTACTTTTATGGTATTAAAAGAAATCTTCTGTTTTACAAAACAGGACAAATTCAGGGCCACCAGCCTCTAGAGAGCCTCCCCACCCAGTCATACCGTGAGCCCTTCACTGGTGGGTCCTCAGACTGGGCACCTCGTCCAGCACCCAGGCTGCCCAGCCCTCCTTCCTGACCATCTTGCCCTGCAGCCTCCCTCTCTGGATCTTCCTTGCCTGAGGTCCAAGAGGGGTCCTTTGCTGGTGGAGGCTAAGCCCTCAGCCTGGCCCCTAGTGCATCCCTCAGTCCCCTAAGGTTACTCCCTGACAGTCCTCCAGCCTCTTCACAGAGCCTGCCCTTTCTCCCCCATTAACGTCTCTTCCTACCCAACCCGTCCCCTTCCCCTTCCCAAGTATGCTCCACACAACCCCCACCCGAGGTAGCCTGCCGGGGCACCCCTGGAACGGCAGCCCACCTACTTCTACAGGGGGTGAAGAGGGGAGGGCCCCAGACTGGGTCAGAGTAGCCACACAGCCCTGTACCCCCACAGGCATTCTTAAAACTGGTAGCAACCAAGCCCAGGGTAGCAACAGCCCAAATGTCGAGGCCACACTGGATGCAGAAGACAGCTTCTGGGAAAGGGCCCAGCCTGATACAGAGCAGAACACCCATGGGCTGGGGGTGGGCATCTGGTTCACTAACTAAATACAGCAGGAACCAGCTTGGGCAATTTGCAGAATTACAGGGAAGGACAGAGTAGAAAGAAAAGCATCTCCCTATTCTGTGCCCACACTTACAAAGAGGTCTATTGTTAGAACTCGCATTCGGGATTTGGTTTAAACTAGAGAGACCCACAGAGGAAAGACACCCTTGAGGAAGAAGACAACGAGCTCGGTCCTCAACTTACCCTAATTGGGTTTAACCAACAAACGCAACTCCACTTTAAAATCGAAGAATTACCAATATGTGAACCTAGGAAAATATCTGGAGTCTCACTTTTATGACTCCTACAGCCTTTCTCTAGGCAGAAGTTTGTGCATCTACACACAGAGACTGAACAAAAAGGATTCCTGCAAGTTTTCTTCCTCCCCTAATTTTTACACAATGGAAAAATACTCAAAGCTAAGCCCCCCGAATAAAGATAAACAGCTGAGATGGAATGGAGGAGGTTTTTAATAAGTTTAATTTGCTCTAATTGGAGAGAGGTACAGAGCAGGCACGCACACAGCCCGCCAGGTAGCCCTCCCGGGCACGGTGGCGCCGAAGGCCGCTCTGCGGCAAGAGCCGGCCTGCTGGGGGAGAGCACGGGACCCCAGCAGGCCCAGGACGCTCCCTCCTTAGTGCCCAGGGGGCGGCCTGGCCCCCTCGCCTGGCCTCACCAGCCGGCGGTAAGCAACTCTCACAGTTAACCACCTGCAGCCACCTGCCTTTCAACCCTCTCTCTTCTAATTCTCCAGGGGATAATGTAGATTCTGAACAATGAGAAAAGTGGAGAAAAATCAGACAACAAACAGTACAGACAATAAAACTAATTCAGTATCTTTCATTCACAAATAAGTAAATGTTACATAACTTTTACATGAGATTTTAGACCTTAAAAGAGGCTACTAAAGCAAAAACGTGGTAAAATGCAGTACATTTCTCTCTGTAAAATAAACATTTATTCCCTGTAAAGCCACCCTATGATGAAAAAGAAATACTATGTAATAAACCAAAAGTTTGCAAAGCAACCGAGAGAGCCATCCCCAGCGTGCTCAGACGCAGCCGGGCGGCGGGCACTGTGGTAATGGGCAATGTTGTGCGGGTCACTGCACTCCCCCTACACAGAAAGCAAATTAAATTTCATGGGACTCCTAGGCCAACTGTGTTTTAATACAGCAGCACTGACAGAGACGAATACTGCTTTAGTCGAACTACGGAGTGATTAAGAAAATACAGCACGCGTTTCGGAGCATTATCTCATCAGAAAGCAGCTCTGTCAAACGTTATGGAAAGAGAGCTTGCCTTTATTGCCGAGGGTCTAATGGCGCTCACAGCCACAGCTCGACAGTGACAGGAATAGAAAGTCCTTCCCTTTGCACAAACAAGGGATTCATGACGGAGTTATTATTTTTTCCATATGGAAACCAGTTTGGTATTTTTAAAATGCATCTGCCTCAAAACTAAGACAAAATGACGCGATGGGGTGCCAGAGTCATGTGGGTACTTGAAACAGAGAACTCCACAACCCTGTGAAACCTACTCAAATACAAAACACAAAATGCAGAAGGAGGGCAGGCAATACAAATGCTATTTGTTAAGGATTCAGAGGTCTGTATTCTCGCTCTGAATGTGGAGGATTCCACAGTTGCTCACTACCCAGAAATTTACAAAGCAAAAGAGAAGTCTACCTGGTATTTTTTTCCCCAGTCAACTTACGAGCTAAGGCAAGCCACACAACTTTGAACAGTTTTTAAAGTTTCTAGAAAGACTCTTGAAAAGAAAATATGAATTTTCCAAACCCACCCTCCCAGTCGACAAGCAGCACAAAGAAAACAAACCCTGACTCTTCCAGAAGCCTCTTACTGCTGTCAGGGGACGTCACTCACTCCTGGCTCCCAGGAGGACCACCCGTGCGACTGAGGCCCTCCACCATTTCTTCCATCAGCAGGATCAGAAAGGGCCAGCTCGCCTCCTATAGAAAACGTCCCCGACGCGTCTCACTGCTGACCTTGCGCAGGCAGGTCCTGACTTCAGGATCTGGGTGCACATGGACATCTGAGCCCCACTGTCTGCACCCCTCCAAAAGCACAGGAGGGTACCTCCCCTCAAGGCCCAGCTGGCTGCTGCAGCCGCGAAGGAAGTCTCCGAGAGGCTCGCAGACAGGGAAGGAGCCTGAGACTAATGCAGCCTCCAATTGACAGTGGCGTGAGTTCTATTATTACCCCATTATCACTCTGGGATCTGTGCCTAAATGAAGCATGCTTCCTCCCTGATGCCATTTCCTTTTATCCTGGCTGGAGACTAAAAGCAGATCAATGGGGGCAATACTTATGATGTCACTTCAATTTACAGCAACGGCCCCTCCCTCTCTTTCAGTCTGTCTGAATTACACAGAAAGATCAATTCTTCCCAAAAATGGTTAAAAAATGCTTAGGGAGCATTCTTCTTCCAGAAAAGCATTCTCTGCTATATTTGTCTATGTTTCTACCGCAGGAACTGTTTACACTGAACAAAAACAGAAGAAATGGGGGAGGGAGAAATCTCAAATTCTCCTGTATGCAGGAGATTTGCTGGTTGAAATTCAACACAAGCTGGGTCCAAACCAGGCTCAGGCGGCTGACCTTTGATAGTCACATGCAGAAGTCTTTCTGGCGTAGGGACACAATGGAGACAGCAATTCTCCTTTGCCCCTTGGATTGAAAAGGTAATCTCACAGACATA